TTCCATTTAGAGTCGATGGGGYTGAGATTTGTAAAGTCAGTGAGGTGAAGTTTTTGGGTGTAGTGACAGATGAAGGGTTGACATGGAGACCTCAMATAAATTATTTAAGAACAAAGATGCTAAATCTATTGCTGTTCTGTATAAAGTAGGGGAGTTATTTAATGATAAAGCACTGTATATGTTGTATAGTGCAATAATAGGTCCACACTTGGTTTATTGTATTGAGGTCTGGGGGAAAGCGTGTCGCACAATTACAAATCCTATTTTTTTTATTACAGAAAAGAGCTGTGAGAATTGTTACTGGAAAACATTGTCGTCACCCATCAAATTCATTATTTTGTAAATTGAAAATATTGAAGTTCTTTGATTTGGTTGATTATAATATTCTACTCGTTATGTATAAGGCCCACAAAAACACAGTACCTTTAAACATTCAAGTAAAATTTGTTAAGATAAAGAGTTGTTATAACCTTAAAGGGACAGAAGTATTTGTAAAACCCAAATTCAGAACTAGTTTGAAGGAATAGTGTTTTAATTCAAGGAATAAAACTATGGAACAATTTGGGGAGTGATGTAAAAAATGCAGGATCATTATGAACATTTAGGAAAATGATAAAAGCTGGATTGCTAAAGAAACACAGAACAGTATAAGGTTTTGCATGGTAGTATAAACTACTACCATGCAAAACTTTCCACTTCCAGTTTAACTTTGGCTGAGCCAAATTCAAAAGACAATATGTCAATTATGTGACAAAATGGGCAAAATCGTGTTTATTATGCCAATTTTTTGTAATATTAGAAGGTTTTCTTTGGATTTTGTATTTGAAGAATTTGCATGTCACTGGCACTTTGAGTAAAAGTCAAAGTGTTCGCAATAATCGAGAAAGTAAAACTAGTTGTAGACTACCGGTCAAAATGTTATTTTACCTTCRGTCTGTGATACACAACAATACTATTACAGTAACATGGAGGATCAGACCCAAAATACAGGCAGGCATGAGGAGCTAGATAAATAAAATTATTCATTTTAAAACAAACAACAGGCTGACATGGYGGCAGACTGAGACACAGGGCAACTYGAAGGAAGTGACCTAAACTGACATCATGCAATGAACAAACGAGGACRTGGTGACGAGAGGCTGGTTAAAAACACAGAGACGAGTGATGWTGGACAGCACCGGTGCTGGGGGCTGATTACAAATTATAGACAGGTGATGGTGGCGAGGAGAGCGGGAGAACTAACAGGAAGCTGACTGAGGGTACATGAGAATATAGGGATTATCTAACAGAAGATCTAAACTGACATGAGCAATCTGACATTCAATCAACTTTAAGTACAACAGAAAGAGACGAACCAAAACACAAACCAAACTCCTCTGTCCCAAACAACTCTTTCATGGACGTCACCATTTTTCACCTATTTCTTTTTGTCTTTTTTCATAGATACACAAAACAGGCAGCAGCTCACATCTTTTTTAATTAAGAACTCATTATTGCAAACACATAGTTGGTTTATGAATTTTTGTTTTTTTTCTGGGTTTAAATGTATATTTATTTTCAGGTAGTTTGGAGACATCCACATTACTGAACTGCTTCTTCACTGCACTGTTCCTGATGTCAGTGTTTCCTGTCACGGGACACTAGAGCAGTTACATTTTTATTACATCAAGTTCCCAGTTGGATTTAATGATGTGAGTTTTTGAATAACAGTGCAAACACATCATTGCTTTACTGCATTACAATACATCAAATGGCAGATGCGTTAAAAGTAGGGAAATACAATATTCAAATTGACACACATTTATGCATGTACACAATAGGTTACTCTTTCCCTCGTATACACACAAACACACGCACACACAAATACACACAGCCAGATAGGAATCCCTTCCAGCAGTGCTCAGCTTTCCTCAGCACCTCTGCCTCCTCTGTGCCGCCCTTTGTTAGGCCTGCTCAACTATTCCCTTTCATACTGAGGGCACAGATGGAGCAGAGAGAGGAGAGGAGAGGAGAGGAGAGGAGAGGAGAGGAGAGGAGAGGAAAGGAAAGGAAAGGAAAGGAAAGGAAAGGAAAGGAAAGGAAAGGAAAGGAAAGGAAAGGAAAGGAAAGGAAAGGAAAAAAGTATCATGTTCAGTGATTGATCCTATCGAGCAAATATCTCTGACTCCTCTCTCATCTGGCTGACAATAATTAGAGCAAGGCAAGCAAAGGTTGTTTACAGTGCAGCTATATGGTTAGCATTGCAGAATGCGACTTTAGGCCTTTTGCCTGTGGACATCCCTGTGTCTCACTACTGTCTCCCAGAGCACAGTTGGAATTCACTTTGTAGTGTGTGYGTCTGGGGAAAACGATGCACCGCCTAAAGACGAAAAAACAGAATCAATTGTGTTGCTCCCACACCCGCTTCGCCAAATAATTAGGCTAGACTTGCATCAAAATGAGGCGTTGCATTTTACTTCCTGCTCATATCACTGCTTCAGCGCTCGCTCAGTTATTTTTTAAAAGAACGGCTCCTCGGCGAGGTGTCTACACTTTCTGAAGTGTTAAATTACTTGAAGTTGAAGTTCCTTCAAGCATGCTCACACGATGAGCAGCACAACGTGCAGTCCATCAGGGAAAAGTCGACATTTGTTCACGGAATGCTTCATCAGCAGTTCGGGCTGATAAATATTCAGATCTGAGCTGACATCCACTAAAGCAGAGATGATGAAGATGTCTCGTGGAGCTTGCTGTGGCACAGCTCTTGTTTGGAAATTTAAACTGACTTTTTTTTTCTGTTTTCAGTGCAGGACATTGTAAACATAGTTTATTTTATCACCTGCTGCTGAAAGGTGAAGGTAGATAATAGCACAATATATCGGCATTAATATCAGTATCAGTCTGATAAGTAAAACTACACTGATAGTAATGTTCAGTATTGATTTCCCACTTTTTAGCTTTGTGTTTAGGGAGGGGAGACGGTTGGTCGAGTGGTATTTGTTTGGTCATGATAGTGACACTAGACAGCCAGGAGTAACTAAAGTAGAGAATCAGCAGTCTGGCTATTTTTTTACATTATTGAAAAAAGACACAAGTGTATTTGTGCTTATGTGTATGTAAATATTTTGTTTGTTTATGTAATATTGGTAAATATTGGTTATCGGCCATAACAGCAACACTAATATCGGATATCGATATCGGCTGAAATTTTCTTATCGGTGCCATCCATCCATCCATTCATCTATCCATCCATCCATGTATCCATCCATCCATGCATCCATCCATCCATGTATCCATCCATCCATGCATCCATCCATCCATCCATCTATCCATTATTTACACCTGCTTATTACTTTTCTAGGGTTATGGGGGTCAGTAGCTGCCTTGCCATTGACCATGAAAATGCACAAATTAGAATTTTGAAAATAAATTTGCTCAATGGAAACACGTAAATTTTGAAAAAAAAAATACGTTTTTCGACAAAATATTTTTGTGCTAGGATGAGGTGGTTTTTCGGCCGTATCAAAATTGGTGTTTTTTGCAAAACTTCAATGGCAACACTTTTTTCACATCACGGGGGTCAGGCGATCAACAACCGGCTGCTTCTACTGGCGAAAAAGAYGACGRCSAAGAAGATAAAAGGAAGTAGTAGTAAAATCACAGAAGTAGTTAAAAAAAARGGTAGTAAACTCACCGACTACAATTTCACAAAAACACAGCATACGTAGCCACTCCCAAGTAGGGACTTGTCTCTGGAAAGCCTCGACAAAAGACGTCGACTTCTCCTCTGATGATGAGCACTAGTGTCGTGGTAGCAACATGCTATGTGTTTACATCCATYGCYRCCATGTTTGTAATGACTTATCRYGAGAACAAACGTATTCACGCATGACTTTAATAGCATTTCTTACTTAATGGAAACACAGCAGTTGCGAAACTGTTTTTCGACATTACCAGAATATCGACAAAGTTTTGCGCACATTTGCAATGGAAATGCAGCTACTGGTGCCCATATCCAGTAGTGGGAGGGGTGGGGTACACCCTGTACAGGYCGCAAGTTCATCACAGGGACACATAGAGCCAAACRAGATAAACAACCATTCACTCTCTAACTCACACCTATCATATCAGTGCATCTCTTCAAAAATGTTTTTTTTTTGTGTTTATTACTAAAAGATCCCATGAACCACTGGGTAAATTTGAATGAAACTTGCATAAATAATCATTGAATAGAGCAGAGGTGTTTAATAACGAAGTACATTTAGAATTGAAGTTTTTTTTTCAGTATTTAAATATACATAAAGTATTTAAATATATATTTTTTCAAATTTTGTTACATTCAAAACATAAAACTAATACTTTTACTTCTTTACTTTAAGTTTAACACCTCATTACACACTAATAATTTAAATATGACCAGAACACATCATGAAAAGTGTTGGATTTACTTAATGAAGTTGAGTAAATGTAAAGTGATTTGCTAAACTCTGCTGATTGGAACCAGTTGACAAAACTTCATTAAGTAAATTCAGCACTTCATTTGCCAAAATGTTGAAATCTTACTCCTCCCAATCTACCAGTGGTTTCACTAAAGCTGCATGTCGAGTTTTGTCTTTATGATGCTCCACCACCCTGTTCAATCTCCAAATATTTTTGTAACGTTTATGTTGCTCGTCTTTCACTTTTCTTATGTTTAGCAGCAGATTCATTCCTATTTTTCCAACTAAATGTTTTCTGTGAGATTCTACAATTATGCAGTTTTGCTATACTTATTTACCTACAGACTTCTCCTACTAATGAAATTCAGTGATGTGACTCCAGTTCCCATGTGCTTTTTGGCAGATTCAGTCAAGGGCTTTGTTTATAATGAGTGTGTACATTTAAGAATTGCACACCAATAGATATGAAAGTCTACTTTGAGATCACTTTTATCTTTGATACTCAAACACAATGAAATAATATGTTTATTCTGAATAAATATTCTGAGATGATGGCATGAACCATTCTCTGTTTGACACCAGATCAGCCAGACCCGGTTCCTGTCCCCCACGACTGTCGAATCGAGTCCGCCTGGCCCTCCGCATGCTGCCATCTGAGCTGGGCCTGCCGTTGCTGTGGCAACAACAACAACAACAACTTCCTGGTAGCTGGCATGACTCCGTTCAGCAGCTCGGCCTCATTATGCTGCTCCTTGCTTTGATGTGGTTTGTGAGGCTTTACCTGCATTACTGCTGCCAGTGGCTCTACCTCCAGGCCATTGCAGTTCCTGTCAACAAGTGAGTTTCCTTCTTTGATAAGATCATGTGCGCACGTGCATGCACGCAAACACACACACGTGTGGGAAAAAATGTTTGGATGCATATACAATCGCATGAGAACATAGCTGCTGAAATAAATTAAAGATTGAGCTTTTTTTTTTTTTGAGGGAATGCATTTCACCTGCCACCTTTCATGACACAATTTTATCTATTGAGGAAAGAAACTTGAACTGTTATAGTCAAATGTTGAAAATAAAATAATGCAAATGTTAAATATAATAAAATGTTTCCTTTAAAGTATTCTTTGTGAGCTGCTACCACATACTGCACAGTTTTAGCTCAATACCTGTAAAACTGACTGAATCATACACAGTAGTCATAATGGTCATTTTTATGTTGGCTCATGCTGATTGTGGCAGCCATCTTGAATTGGATTGACTTAAATAATCTTTACTGACACTTTCAATAAAATCTGCCCAGTGGTTTATGAAATATTTTGCTAACCGATGGTTATATCTGTAAAACTGACTTAAATATATCTGTTTTCTAAAAATAAAGTGGCCATCTTGGCTCCAAAATGCAAGTACGTGTAAATATATATTTATTAGCACCATAAGTTTTTTTGGAAATTTGTCCAGTGGTTCATGAAATATTTTGCTTACAGGTTCAAGAATACAATTGGTTAATGGCAAACTAACCMGATTAACCAATTGCAGATGTAAATATAATAACTCTTTGCAAATTCAAAAACATTTTTTTGAGATTCAAAAAAAGTTTGCACTGCAAAAAATGTCCATCTTACCAAGTTTTAAAATCTTATATCCAGCCAAAAAGTCTTTTTGATCTTGTTTTGAGACT